AAAGGGGTGATGGTGATGGCAATGTTGGTGAAGTGGAGGGGAATGGGGGATGAGCCCTGCGCGGGAGAAGGCGGATTGGAACTTGTCGCAGAGTGTTGGTTTTCACGAGCCCGCGTTGTGATACGAGCCTCCTTGCCGTCCAGCCTTGGGCCACCGGACCGTCCTCTGCGGTGGGCTCCTGTCGCGGCCAGTTTGGCTCTCCGTCGTGCCCGGCGCGCCTGGGTTTCATTCGTTCGCCTGGAGAGTTCGGGCCCCTCGCTCGGCCTCCACCAGTCTGGTCTCATCCGTGGGTCGACCCTGCAAGAAGTCCAGTGTGCTCCAGGTGCCCCGGTTGTCGCGATGCGTGCCCTCCCCGTGTCTGGAGCGCGTGTTGCCTGCGGGAGAGCCTCGTGCCCTCATCGGGTGTCCCTCTGTGGTCGGTCCCGGCCTCAAGTGGTGTTTGGCTCGGGGACGGCAAACAGGGGGGTGATGACTTGGGGGGGGGATATCGGCGGGGGCCACGATATCTCTCCAGATTTCATGGCGCTTTTTCTTATTTCATTACGTGCCTGGCCCCGCCCCCCCTGAGCCGCGCGCATGCCGCTGGCCATGATTTGCGCCCCCCCCCTCTTGGACGCCCCCCTTTTGGCCGCCCTAGATTGGGGTTGCGGCCGTGCCTCCTGCCCCATCACTCAGGAGGGGGAAAACACACACAGACACAATTCATCGGCGATTCCCCGGAAAATGTGGGAAAATATGGGAAGTGGTGGGGAAGACGAATACCCAGACAATGTGAGAATATGGGAGTCCTGGGATTAGTGTGTATTCATGTGTGTGTCCCTGGGCCCCTTCAATCATGTCGGTTCCTCGCTCGCTCGTGGGCGCGGCCCCCCGTGCTGCCCGCTCCCGCGGACAAGAGAAAACCTCAGGATCTTTTCACCGACCCCTACAGTGGAGGGATTCTCCGAAGGGCTTAGGCGACCCGTCCTCCTCCTCCTCCCCCTCCTCCTCCTCCTCCTCCTCCTCCTCCCCCTCCTCCTCCATCTCTTCCTCCCCCTCCATCTCCTCCTCCACCTCCTCCTCCTCCACCTCCTCTTCTTCCACCTCCTCCTCCTCCTTCTGTCGCTTACGGCCCCGGGGGAAACCGTGCACCCTAAAGTGGAGGCCCAGGCCAAGAAACACCCTGCTTGCCTCCAGGGTGCTTTGAGTTTGTCGGGTTTCGATGGTTTTGCGATGGACAGCGCGACGTTCCCAACCAAAAATCCATGAACGTCCTGGGGTCTCAGGGTTGGGTTTCTTGGGGAAGGTTTCTTGTGGCCGGGCCTCCACTGTATCATCCCAGATCCCTCATGCAAACCTGCACCATCTCAGCACCCCAGTTGGGGATTCGCTCCTCGAAAAACGAAGGAAACGGCCTATATCCCCATCTGGGGGGGCGAATCGGCCAGCGGGGCCGAGGCCACGCCCATGGGGATCGGGGTCGGATACAGGATGCTCAAGCATTGCATAGACAGATTTCGGACGTTCGCGTGGATTTCTTGGATCTGCGCTAGGCCCCCTTGGCGTCGCCTCTGGCGCGCCTCCCTCTGGCGCGCTCCCCGCGCAAGAGAGGGCGTTTGGTGCCCATCCTGGAAATAAGCGCGGATCCCCGGATGTTTATCATTATGTGTATGCAGAGTATACTGTTATGTTCTCTCCTCTCTCACACTTGAAGCGCCGCGGAGGAGTTGCTCCGCTGCCAGCATATGCAGGAGCAGATCGACCAGAAGGAGTCCCAGCAGCACCAGAAGGAGACGACGACCCGCCTTTCCCATCCACCCACCTTGGGCCCGGGCAGATGGGATCGGGGGGCGGCACCGCCGATGCATCTGCGATGCGTCTCGACTCGGAGCCAGAGTTTCTCCATCTCGACGTTGCCGACGCATCTTGGATGCGGCGCCATCCTCCGATCACATTTGACTGCTCGGATCCGATTTGGGTGGGTGGCCTCCAGATCGGCTATGGATCGTGACACTCTGCCGGGCCATTGGCAGCTCTCAGGAAGAAATCTAGACCTCGGGTCTTCCATCACTTCTGGCCTGAAGTCGGGCATGTTCCTTTAGAGGAGGAATATTCAAGAATAGTCAAATACTATCGAGACGATTTTTCTATTCTTTTAATGTTTGAATGTGGTTTGAATTGTCCTTGATACTGTTCCTCCAACATCAGCCCGCCAGATGACATTGCCCGACCTTATTCTAGCCTCCGCGAGCTCGTTTCGAATCCCCGGGGACGGTCGACAGGCGGCGGGGACGACAAACCAGCACCCGGTGGGCATAAGGGGAGAATCCCACGGGGGGCTGCGGGCAACGCAATTAGTCCAGTTGGAGCCAAGGGGCTCCACCTGGTGAGCCTCCAACTGGACTTAGCCTGAAGTCGGCCATGTCCCTGTACAAGAGGGATCTTCAAGAGTACGTAGTCACATGACAGTCTGGGGACGATGTTTAGACTAATGTTCCCAACCATCCTGTGGTGTTGGGTCCTCGTTTTGAAATAACGGTCCCCGCGTTCTCCTCCTCCTCCTCCTCCTCCTCCTCCTCCTCCTCCCCTCCTCCCTCCTCCCCCTCCCCCTTGCGTTTCACCCACCCAGTACAGCGTTGCGTGGCCCCATAGGGAGCTCCGCCAGAGGCCCAAGTGGCAGTGTTCGCATGCGGTGCCACCCCAATTTCGGCACACCCCTCACACGCTTCGTGGCCCCATAGGGAGCTCCGCCGAAGGCCCCAGTGGAAGGGTGCGCATGCGGTTCCACCTCCATTTCGGTACACCCCTCATACGTTTCGTGGCCCCATAGGGAGCTCCGCCGAAGGTCCCAGAGACAGGGTTCGCATGCGGTTCCACCTGCATGTCGGCACACCACTCACACGTTTCGTGGCCCCATAGGGAGCTCCGGCGAAGGTCCCAGTCGCAGGGTTCGCATGTGGTTCCACTTCCATTTGGGCACACTCCTCATACGTTGCGTGGCCCCATAGGGAGCTCCACCGACAGTAGAAGGGTTCGCATGCGGTTCCATCAGCAGTTCTCGGCTCCCTGATAGGTGTTCAGAGGAGGAGGACAATGAGGAGGAGGGGGAGGAGGAGGAGGAGGAGGAGGAAAGGAGGAAGGGAGGAAGCAACTAGTTAAAGTCGTCGTAGTCGTCAGCGTGTCTCTTGGTTCCGTCTTCCACATGAATCCGCTGACACTCAGATGCTGACAAGGACAATGCCTTCTACCGAAGCATGCCATCACTATGAGATGCACATATGCGGATCACCGCGTCGAGAAATTGAGTTGTTCTGACTATGCTCCATGCCTCTATCAAAACCCGCCTGTAGGAGGACATGCCCGACCTAAACTCAGCCTCCTGAAGGGCGACGCCACGTCCAGTTGGAGCAGGTCGGGTCGGCGCCAGGAAGAGCTTGTCTTGACGGGACATTCCCGCCGGTCTTCGCTTCTCCCTGGCGCCCACACCACGACGCGAGCGCGGCGCGTCGGACCAGGGGGGTATGTGGATCATAAGCGGCACGCTAACGTCTTTTTTGAAGGCAGGTTTGCCTTCAAACAAATGCGTCTGCTCTGTAAGAACGTATTTGTTGATGGCATGTCTGCGTTCTACAAATACGTTCTTTCATGTCCTGGTATGTGAGAAAGTATTTGTTTAACGTGTTCAGGCCAACTCGTATCACGTTGTATCTGCATTGTCGTTTCTTGCGTTCGTCTCCACACGCTTGGTGAGGAAGCAAACGGCTTTCAAGTGCAAACGGCATTCGCGTTACGACGGTGGTTCCCGAATCATGCGGTCCGCTCCCATAATTTCCCACTGTCAAAAAACGTATTTCCCCATATCCTAAGATGGGTTTCTTCGATGCTCGTTCTGGGGACCTTCCTGGGGCCCACCTAACGGATCTGTTCGACTCAAGTTCGACTCAGATTCGATTCAGATTCGACTCAGGTTCGACGCAGCTTCGACGCATGATCGACTAAGGTTCGACTCAGGTTCGACTCGGGTTCGACGCAGCTTCGACGCACAAGTGGAACGAGTGGCTCCAGGAAGGTCCCCAGAATGAGCATCTAAGGTTTCTTGTTATTTCTTGGACGCCGCCGACTCCAGAGAACAAGAACACACCCAGAACACAGACTTCCTCATGCACAGACTCATACTCAGACTTACTCATACCCAGACGTACTCAGACACATACTTATTCATACTCAGATTTACTCATTCCCAGACTTACGCATACACAGACTTACTCCTACTCAGACTTTCTCATACTCAGACCTACTCATACCCAGACCTACTCATACCCAGACGTACACATACACATACTTACTCATACACAGATTTACTCGGCGCAGACTTCCTCATACCCAGACGGATTCATATACATGGCCCTGCGTGCTGGATAATGTGTTCTCGAGTGTCTCCGTTCCGCTGCCGTTTTTGGGCTCTGCCAAAAACTTGAAGACGGTTGTGATGCTTGGCCCGCTCGCCCAGGTAGCGTCCGCCAGCTTCGCGGGCAGTTGGCTGGGGGGGGCCGCTCGCGCATGCCACTGTGACTGTGCGTGCGCCTGCCACACCAGCTCCGACGACGGGGCCTTGAAGCTGCTCGAGAAGCAGCTCGACAGGTGCGGGCCCGAGCACCTGTGCCCGCAGTGCCCGACCTGCCCACAGTGTCCAGGGCCTACCCCTTGCCTGCCACTCTGGCCTGCTGGGCTGGGCGGCTTCGTGGCGGGCGTCGCCACCACCGCGCTCGCGGCGCTGTTCGCTGGGCGCTGCAGGGGTCGCCGCGAGGGGGCCCGTCCGGCTCGCGCCGTCGGGCCGAGCCCGCCGTTGGGCCTCGCGGACGGGCCCGCGTCGTTTGTGCCGGCGCCGGCGCTGGCCGCTGCCCCGGAGCCGAGGGCTCCTGCGGCGCTGCCGGGCGCGGCGGCGCTTCGGGGGCGGGCCTCGCACCGCGGGGCCGGGGTGCTGACGCTCGGCTGAGGCCGGGGCCCCCGCGGACAGCGGCATGTCGTCGCTCGCGCCTGGGACCTATGCTTTCGTGCAGTACAATGACCCGGCCGACAACGGGCTCTGGCATGAGCGCTTGATCCTGGGCTGGGTCACTGCATCGGAGTACATTGTGATGACCCCAGATGGGGATGTCTTCATAGAACAGCTCGACTCGGCGAACGCGGACCTGTCAGGTATCCGTTTTTCGCCTTCGTCGGGGGGCTTGCCCGCTGGCCTCGCGGGTGTGCCGCTCTACCGCTTCGCGGCGCAGCCTGCTGGGGCCGAGCTGACGGCGCTGCTCAACGAGGGGGCTTCGCACGCTCGCGTGGAGCGCCAGGCGAGGGGCTTGGCGCAGCCGCCCGGCGCGGGCATGGCCGGCGGCCCGGGCGGCTTTGCCCCGGCGGTGGTGCCGATCCCGCTGCCGGTCGCGCCGCCCCCGGCGGCAGCCGGCGCGCCCCCGCCGCCTCCGCCCGCCCCGAGGGTGTCGCCGGCCGCGGGCAGCTGGGTCTTCGACGTCCCTGGCCCCTCGCACGCGATCGGGCAAGAGTTCCTCTTTCCTGCGGGCGGGCTGGACTTCGGGGGCCACGCGTTCGTCTCGGTGGGCGGGGCTATCACCGCGGGCTGCTTCGTCCAGGCGGACACGAACCTCGACGAGTGGGCGGCGGAGCGGCAGCTCTTCCTGATGCAGGGCGAGCCGCGTCTGCTGCCCCGGCGGCAACCTGCGGGGCCAGTCCCATTCACCCGCGACGCGGCGTGGCTGCACAAGGACCCCCGGGTTGAGATCCACCTGAAGGGGCCGCCGACCATGGGGGACTCGGTGACCGCGTTGATGGCGCGGAGTCCGGGGGGCTTCATGTCCTCCCACGAGCGCTGGCTGGTCGAGAGCAAGGTGCCCGCAGCCAGCCGCTCGGCCCGTGAACATCGAGTGGTCTCGAAGGCGCTCGAGCTCGGACAGGCGGTGGACGGCATAAACCTGGCGAACCTCACCTGCATGGAGTACCTCAACAGGCGCCGCCAGTTGTTGGAGGAGGCCCACAAGACCGACCCGGACAAGGGCAACTTTGAGGGCGCCCACCACTTCATGGGCGAGGATGACGATGGAGCGGGCGCACTCGCCGCCCCGAGCCTCCGCTCGCACGTGGCCGGCGAGTTCGGCAAGGAGGCGGCCATCGAGAAGGAGAGACGCAAAGCACGAGAAGCGAAGAAGCCACCTCCCGGAGGTGGCGGGAAATCATGACCGACTTGAACCACGACGGCGCCTTTGCTGGCAGCGCCGCCGCGGCTTTGAAAGACCAGCTTTTTTCGGAGGAGGGAGTGGCCCCGCCTTGGGGCTGGCCGGACGCACAGCCGCCCGGCTTCAGGCCGCCGCCGGGACTTCCGAGGCCGCCCGGCTGCCTGGACGATCTCTTCCCCCTCCCGCTGCTCGACCCGCAGGAGGCCGATTTTGGCGGCTCCGGCCGCGCCCGCACCGGGCAACGAAGGAGATGCATCCGTCGGGACGTGCTGAGTGACGTGAACGACTCGCTGATGGGCCTCAATGTTCTGCACGGCTGTGAGCGCTCGTCGGTTACCGCGCCCACCGAGGCGCAGAGGCTGGCACAACGGAGGTTGCTCCGTTCCGCTCGCTCTGCCCGACAAGTTTTTCCAGACTTATTTAACATGAGCCCCCGTGAAGCTGCCAGTGAGCTTCTGGGATCGCGCCTCGATTATCAGGGATCGGTGACGACGGTCGTCCCGTACCGCGCCGATGCCCTGTCTTTGCCCCCCGCAGGACGACAGCCGGTCAGCCTTCAGGGCGCTCTCGACCCTGATGCCGCGCACGCGCTTGCTAACTTTGAGAGCCTCCTCGCCGAGCCTGAGGTTCGTCAGGCCCGTCGGGAGGGGGGCCCGGTCCGACCGTACATGGACGCTGTGCTTAAAAATGATCGGGCCCAGTATGTGCAGTTTTTGGGGCAGCTCGCGAGCTGCCATGTGCTCACCTCCACTAGGACTAAGAAAGCCTCTGTCACCCCGTTTTTCGTGTCAAAAAAGACCGACAAGATTCGGCTCGTGTTAGACTGTTGTGAATCTAACCAGTTCTTTAAACATTCTCCCTTCACGGAGATAGCTGCGGCGGAGAGCCTCAGCTCCTTGGAGGTCCCCGAGGGCAGGCAGTTGTACAGTGCATGTGCTGATATCCAGTGTGCATTCTATCAGTGCGGAGATATAGGAGATCTATGCCAGTACTTCTGCCTCCCGAAGGTGACTCGGGCCGAGGCTCACCGCGCTGGTATCCCCGTGAAGGACCTTCGTGTACCCGGCGATGCAGGTGCTTCCGATGGGTTGGTCCTCGGCCTTCTGGTTCGTCCAACGTCTTCACCTCGAGGTGGTGCGGAGGTCTGGGGTCCCTTCTACCATGGTTGCTACTGGATCCTGGCCTCTTCCGTCGGTCGTCGAGGGCCCAATCGAGGCCCCGTGCTCGGACAACGTGAATGTGTTCGGTTTGGAGCCGGGGCCCGCGTTAGCAACGCGTGATCGCATCGTCGCCCAGTTCGAGGCGGAGGGGTTCGCCATGCATGATATCTCCGAGGTGTCGTCCGAGGGCGTCGTCCTGGGAGCTGACGTCGGGGGGCCGGATCCCTTCACCCGCCGCTCTCTAAAAAAGCTGCTGGTGGTCAGGAAAGCTCTGTTCTGGCTCGCAACGGGCCCATACGTAAGCGGCCGACAGCTGGAGGTTATCTTGGGACATTATGTCGCTGCCTGTCTCTTCTGCCGCCCAGGCTTTTCGATCATGCGTGCGGTGTACGAGTTTGTTCGGGCTTCCTACGACAGGCCCAAGGTGCTCTGGAGAAGTTGTCGTTACGAGTGTTGGCTTATGGCGACCCTTTGCATCCATCTGCAGTCTCCCCTGTCTTTGCCGTGGGCGAGTGAGGTCATCGCTACCGACGCGTCCACCACCGGGATGGGAGTAACCGAGGCCAGGCTTCCGAAGGAAGTCGAAGCGGATGTTGGGAGATGGCGGGAGAGGTGGAGGTATCGTCGCTTGGAACCTTCTGAGTGGGCCCCCCGGGCCCGGGCCCTCGACGGCCTGGGCGAAATCACCTTGCCACACACTGCCTGGGAGAACCCGTCGGAGCGTGGTTGGAAGCACGCTGTCGGTTTTCCCGAGGTCCCGTCTGAAGTCCTTGGAGCTCAGTTTCGTGTTGTGTACGCTGCGCCCTTCAGATATGCCGAGCACATCGGGGTCAAGGAGGGGCGGGCCGCTGTGTGGGCTTTGCGCCGTGATGCGAGAGATCCAGGGCGGCACTGCTCCAGGAGGTTGTACTTAATTGACAATTTCGGGGTCGTGCTTGCTTTGGAGCGTGGGAGGGCCACATCACACGGCCTCCTGCAGATCTGTCGACGGGTCACCGCTCTGTCCATAGCCTGTAGCATTTCGGCTCGTTTCCGTTGGATCGCCTCAGAGTCAAACCCGGCCGACGCGCCTAGTCGGCTCTGGGAGCGGCCGGACGCTCGGCCGCCCTGTGGGCCGTATGCTCGGCCCGCTCAGCGTGGCTGGAGGGGCTACGCCCTGCCTGGAGGACAGCCGCGGGCGCGCGTCGACCACCAAGGGGGTCCAGCGCGCCGTGCGGAAGGCTCGTGCTGTTCGTCTTCCAGCTCCAGCCGCGCCGAGGCGGGCCAGGCTGGGAAGGCCCGCTGCCGCGCCGGCGCTGCGGCGGCGCCCGGCGGCGGCGGCCGCGCCTGCGCCGCTTCGCCGCCCAGCAGCCGCAGGCGCGCCCGCGCTGATGCGCCGCCCGGCCGCGGCGCCCAGCGCTGCCGGGCTTCGGCCCCGGCTGGCGGCGGCGGTGGCGACGGTGCGGACCTCGAAGGTGACAGCCACGATCCCGTCGGCCTGCGAGAACGCAGCCGTCGGTGCCTCGGCCAGGCTCTCCTACCAGCAGTACTACGCGGCCTTCCTGGCGTTCGTGGGACAGCCAGCCGACGACCTCGAGGCGCTCGAGGTGCAGGTCCTGGAGGTCCTCGACACGTTCCTGGAGGCGGGCTGCACGAAGGGGGACGCGGACTACCTGGTCGCCGCCGTCAAGGACGCGCTGCCGAGGGCGACGGGGCCGAGGGCCCTGCCTCGCGTGCAGCGCGCGCTGAAGGGGCACGGCAAGAAGGTGCCCCCGAGGTCGCGGGCTCCCGCGCCCCGCGAGGTGGTGGGCTCAGCGATCTCGGGACTCCTCTCGGTGAACGAGCGGGTCATACTCAGACTTACCCATGCCCAGACTTACTCATACACATACATACGCATCCTCAGACATACTCAGACTCATACCTACTCATACTCAGCCCAGACGTACACACATACTTACTCATACACAGACTTATTCATGCCCATACTTACTCATACCCAGACGTACGCACACACAGACTTACTCATACACAGACGTATTCACACCCAGACCTTATCATAGTCAGGCTTATTCATACGCAGACTTATTCAACACACAGAAGATTCGGAGTATGTCTCAGGCGTGGCGCTGGTTTCAGCACCCCAGAGGGGAGCCGCCAGGGGTGTTTTCACGGGCCCGTTCGCGGCCAGTTTGTGGGGATGTCTCAAGGGGTTTGGTTGTTTTGGTAAACAAATTCGTCTGCGTTTAGAGCAGATTGTGAGGATGTCTCAGGCGGGGCGCTGGTTTCAGCACCCCTAATGGGCGCCGCCAGGGGTGTTTTCACGGGCCCGTTCGCGGCCAGTTTGCGGGGATGTCTCAGGCGGGCTGGTCGTTGTTTGGTGGGCAGATTTGTTTGCGTTTAGAGCACTTTGTGAGGATGTCTCAGGCGGGGCGCTGGTTTCAGCACCCCTGGGGGGAGCCGCCAGGTGTGTTTTCACGAGCCCGTTCGCGGCGAGTTTGTGGGGATGTCCCAGGCGGTTTGGCTGTTTTGGTGGGCAGACCCGTCTGCGTTTAGAGCAGTTTGTGAGGATGTCTCGGGCGGGGCGCTGGTTTCAGCACCCCTGAGGGGAGCTGCCAGGGGTGTTTTCACGGGCCCGTTCGCGGCCAGTTTGTGGGGATGTATCATGCGGCTTGATTGTTTTCATGCCCAACACATCCTTTGCTTTCAGAGCAGATTGTGAGGATGTCTCAGGCGGGGCGCTGGTTTCACCATTCCTAAGGGGAGCCGCCAGGTGTGTTCTCACGGGCCCGTTCGCGGCCAGTTTGTGGGGATGTCTCAGGCGGTTTGCTCGTGTTTATGCCCAACATCCTTGGCTGTCAGAGCAGATTGTGAGGATGTCTCAGGCGGGGCGCTGGTTTCAGCACCCCCAGCGGGAGCCGCCAGGGGTGTTTTCACGGGCCCGTTCGCGGCCAGTTTGTGGGGATGTCCCAGGCGGGCTGCTTGTTTTCATGCCCAACATAACACCCTTGGTTTTCAGAGCAGATTGTGAGGATGTCCCAGGCGGGGCGCTGGTTTCAACACCCCTATATGGAGCAGCCAGGGGGTAGGACACAGGCCCGTTCGCGGCCAGTTTGTGGGCATGTCTCAGGCGGCTTGCTCGCTTCATGCCCAACATCCTTGGCATGACGTCACTTGACATAGAACATGGCAAGACACAAAACATGGCATGACACCCTCATATCAGACGCTCACGATGGCATGACATAGAGTCAGAGATGCACATATGGGGAGCTCCACGCAGTGAATAATTGTTTAACTTTTTTGTTTACATTGTCTGCTCTGCAAGAGCGTATTTTTTATGAGGCAACTCGGCCTTCAAAAATGATCCGGATGAATGACCTAACCATATGTAGTTGTGAATGCGCGTTGTGAGTGCCGCATCCGGTGGGTCACGCAACGCGTGATGAGGCGTGCGGTAATGGGTGAGGGGGACGCTTGCGGGTGGTCCCACTGGGGCCTTCGGTGGAGCTCCCTGGGGGGCCACGACGCGCTGTAATGGGTGGTGAAAGCGCACGCGGGCGGTGCCATTGGGGCCTTCGGTGGAACCCCCATATGGGGCCACGAAGCGCTGTACTGGGTGGGGGGACGCATGCGGGCGGTCTCACCAGGACCTTCGCTGGTGCTTTATACGGGGCCACGAAACGCTGTACTATGTGTGGCGGACGCACGCGGGCACCCCCATTGGGGTCATCTCTGGAGTCCCTATGGGGCCACGGCGCGTTGTATTGGGTGTGGCGGACGCATGCGGGCACCCCCACTGTGGCTTTCGGACGGGCTCCTTATGGGGCCACTAAACGCTGTACTGGGTGTGGCGGACGCATGCGGGCACCCCCACTGGAGCCTTCGGTGGAGCTTCCTATGGTGCCACGGAGCGTTTACTGGGCGTGGCAGACGCATGCGGGCACCCCCACTGTGGCTTTCGGTGGGGCTCCCCATGGGGCCACGAAGCGCTGTACTGGGTGTGGCTGACGCATTCGGGCATCCCCACTGGGGCCTTCGGTGGAACTCCTTATGGGACCACGAAACGGTATGCTGGCTGGAGCCTTCGGTGGGGCTCCCCATGGGGCCACGGAGCGCTGTACTGGGTATGGCGGGCGCATGCGGGCCCCCCCCCCTACACAGGCTCCTCCAGCGGATCTCACCTGGCCGCTCCAGTGGCCTATCTGCCGTGGCGAACCAGCACGTCGAGGTCCTCGCTGACCGCGGCGAGATGGCGTCAGCTCTCCGGGAACATTGGCGGGGTGTTTTGACCCGCCGGCTGATCGACCGGCAGCTTCTGTCCGAGTGGCTCGCGGCCGAGGCGCCGCCCACGGCGCCACCGAGCGACGCAGCTTGGCGGCTTCAGCGCGACCACGTGCAAACGGCCATCGACCGCTCGCCAAATGCAGCCCCAGGGCCAGACGGCATCTCAACCAGCGTCGGGCAAGGGTGCCCTCCTTCTCCGACACTTGTCGACATGGCCGTGGACATCCGCTGGCTCCGCGCGAAGGTGCCCGCGCGGTGCTCCGGGCAGTCGCCGATGATTTAGCAGCTGTGGTATGGGCGCGGACATGGCAGCCCCATTCCTCTTCGCAGTCTTTCAGGACTTCGGGGAGACCTCTAGTTTCCGCCTCAACGCGCCGAAGACGGCCCTCGTGCCGCTCTTTCTGCGCGGTCCAGGGCCTGTGCTGCAGGCGCTGCTCCGCTGCGAGCCAGGCTGAGGAGGGCTGCGGGTGGCGGACCACGCGAAGTATCTCGGCTTCGTGCTAGGGCCAGGTCGCGGCCACAGGGCGCGCGACAAGGCCCTGCCGAAGTGCTTGGACAGAGCGGCGGGGGGCGCGCCAGGGGGAGCCTGTGTGCCACTGCATTTGCACGCGCGGTTTACATCGCCTCTGCGCTGGGATTCCTGGTCCAGCTGGATGCTCTCCCGCCGCAATGGCCAGATGTTGAAGCTGAGGATCTGCGCTGGCTGGTCCCGGGTTCTGGCCAGCGGTCCTGCCCTCGTGACCTCGAGCGCATCGACCTGTTCCGTTTTCCGAAGCCTTTCGTCGACGCGGCCGCTTGCCAGCTGGCAGCCCAGGCTCGGGTCTACTATATGTGGGCGGCCAGCTCTGGGGGCTTGCGGACCCAGCGGCGGGCTGCCGCGCTCCGCCAGATGATGCAGGCATCAGACCGTACCACATATAGATGCAAGCCACCTGGGCCGATTGGTTCGCGCTTAGTTTTATATTTCAGGTGGACAGCATGCACGTCGACGACGCGGCTCTGCTGCAGCAACCTATGACCAGGGAGCTGTCCCGTCGCGTCCAGGTGGCATGTCAGCCAACCGCGGCTGGCCGCGCTGCCGCGGGCTACGACGGTCGACCTGGAGATGCGGATCCGCCGCGAGTTGGCCGCTGGGCGGTGCCCCAACTCCCTTGCGTCCGGGGGGCCCACTGCCTGTCTTTCTTGCAGGCGCTGCGGGGACGGGTTTCGCCGCGCATATGAGTTGCGACGTGGAGGGCGCTGTGGGGCGGATGGGCGTCGAGTCGGCGCGCGCAGGGCCGCGTCGGCCTAGCTGGGCGCGCGTCTCGTTGTTCGCCGGCCGCGGCTGATTCCATCCAGCACTGCGCGAATTGCTCAGTGCTCCACGACGCTGCTCACGCCGTGCTGCGTCTACCGCGCCCCGAGTCTCCAGGCGACCGCCTCGCAGAGTTTCTGGAGCTTGGTGGCCGCGCAGGCAGCGATCCGGAGAGAGCGGTGAAAGCGTCGATCCGGGCCGCGGCTGCATACCGCACTCGCTGCCTCTGCCGCCGCGGCCGGGTCAAGAGGGGACCGGCTGCTCGGGAAGCGCTTGGGCACTCATTCCGCGAGGCGGTGCGTGGCCAACGCGCCACATCGCGAATATACATGCTGCGCGCGGCTGGAACTGAGTATCCCGTTCCTCTTCTTTTCTTCCTTTCCGCCGCCTCCCTCCGTATTGCGGTGCCGCTCTGCAGTGCCAGGCAGGCTGGGCGATTGAAGCCGAAACCCAGGATGCTCGTCGGGAGCGGTCGTTCCCACTCCTCCCCTTCGCCCGCCCGCCCCCCCCGCGCTCCTGCGTATAGCGTAGTTGTTCTGTGGAGACAGGCCTGTTTATCAAGTCTGATGAGATTCTCGACGGAATTATGAGGTCATTTTTGGCTTCGGGACCCACGCGGGGGAGCCTGGCCTGCAGGGCACTGGTGGCTGCAAGGCCGACGACGCTCGATAGTGGCGCACAATATTCCTCTTCCCCTCCTCCCTCTGCCTGCTTTCCTTTTCTTCTGTCCTTCCAGGGCGCAAGGCGCCACTTGGCCAGTTCAGGCCGGCAGGCTTGCGGCTGTCCCGACGGCGTGGCCGATGGTTCCTGGGAGGGCGCTAGCCCTGGACTCGGCTCCCGAGGGTGGACGCCGGCGCATCGCCTTATCAGGGGGCTGCCAGCCCGTCGGTTTTTCCAGGGTTTACTCGACCACGGTCGCAATTCACTGGTTTATGCGGACCGATTATCATCCCATCCGTCCTCCCTTATCCCCCCTCCCTCTTTCCCCGCTTCCTCCTTTATTGGCAGTTAGTGTCTTTGCCTGCGTGGGCTTTGCGTGCTGATGGTTGGCAGCCGCTGCATGCCGACCTTGAGCTGCATGTTCAGCTTGTCTCGCCCTGCAACCGCTGCTGAACAGCGTGCGCCGAGCTGGGCACAGGTGCCCGCCTATATCATGATGTCTATGTTGGCGAGTGCTTGCGCCCAATGTTTAGCGTTCCTTTCTTTGCCCTTTCTAGTGTTCTCGGGTTTCCTTCTCCCCCCTCTCGCCCTCCCACTGCGTGCGTTGGGCGCCAGTGCGAGTCCCGCTGGCTAGGGCTAGCTGGTTACGCACGCGCGAGTTTTATTTGTCTTCCTCCTTGGAGCTGCTTCCTGCGGGTGTCAGACTGGGTTATATCGGCCACGCTCGCAGGTCTGGCTGTTCGCATGTCGCCGGTTTGCCTGCAATCTTTGCATTGCCCAGCATGCGGTTTGCGTATTTTTCGTTTTCTTCCTCTTTCTTCTCTTCCTCTTCCTTGATTGTGGTGACATGTAATCGACCAGCCACTTCCGAACTATGCTGCTATAGTGCTACATGCTACAAAGCGGTGCGAGGCTATGTCCGCGCACTTTGCTTGAGGGCGGGTGTGGTTCGTTGATGTCGCGGCTATAGCCCCCATGCTTGGGAACGGGTTCGACAGAAACTGTTGGGTGTTTGTGCGCGGTGTAGATCCTGGGCGGCACGCGCGCTTACTGAACGTTTTCTGATTCGGCGTTCCGGCTTTGGGCGGGATGGGCGGGAGGGGGTAAGGTCTGGCTCCAGACCTCTGCTTGGTGCGACTGTTTGAAGCAGTGTGTTCATTATGGGGGGGGCGCCGCCTGCTCAAAACGGGCGCCAGAAGCAGCAAACATTTATTCCTTGGGGGGAACGGGGGTGCGAAGGCCCGCGCCGATCGGCAAAACAACGAGTAATCAAACACTACCAGTTATCCGTGCCCCCCGCTCTTGCGGTCAGGATCCTTGGCCGCGCCCCCCCCGTGGACGTGGGTGCGTTCCGCCGCGGCTTGGGCGCGAATGCCTCGCGCGGGGCGCTGGTTCGAGGCTGCACTGGGCATCGCTCCAATGTGTTCGCCACTCGTGACTGACTTATATGGACGAATGCCGATCATGTGGCATGAGTTCCTTGTGAATCCAGCGGGGGATTTGTCAAACGATGTCGCCACGATAGGACGACAGCGCCGTTTCGGAACAATCGTGTGCGTGTTGCTGCTCCACCCGTTATGAGGATCCCCCCCTCCTCCTATGTGGATTCTCTTCTCCTCCGTCTAATCCACCTCCGACTCCCCGTCCTCCTCCTCGCCCGAGGTCCCACTTCCGAAGGCCACCGGAGGTCCCCGCGGTTTCTCCGAGTGTGCCGGAGGCCTCTTGGGGGCAAGCTGACAACACCCGACGGCCTCGATCGTCGATCTTACAGTGGGGGCCCATGCCAAGAATCACCCTGTTTGCCCAGGTTTCCTGAGATTCGGTGGCTTTTGCGATGGAGAGCTCAATGTTCCCGCACAAAACATCCCTGAACATCTTGGGGTCTCCGGACTTGGTTTCTTGTGGAATATTTCTTGTGGACTGGCCTCCGCTGTAAGAAAAACTCCGCCTCCGCCGCACCGTCCGTTTCCGACTCCACGTCTTCCTCCTCTTCCTTCTTTTCTTCCCCCACCTCCTCTTTCTCCTCCTCCTTCGGGGTGTCCCAAAAGAGGTCCAGCTGAAACGGCATGGTGCAATCCATGTTGGGCAATTGTTTTGCAAATATATTGCGCCAGATAATTGTTTTGCAGTGTACTGCAAATGTGCAATGTATTGCACGCGAAGATCCAGCAATACATTTGCGCCCCAGATGTATTGCAACCCCACAACTCTATTGCACCACCCCCATGTCGCTGGATTCCCTTTTGGGTCAACCCGACTCCTCCTTCTCCTCCTCCTCCTCTTCCTCCTCCCCCTCCTCCTCCATTCCCTCCTCTTCCTCCTCCTCCTCCCCCTCCCCCTCCCCCCTCCCCCTCCTCCTCCTCCTCCTCCTCCTCCTCCTCCTCCTCCTCCTCCTCCTCCTCCTCCTTCGTCTCTCCTCCTCCTCCTCCACCTCCTCCTCCTCCTCCTCCTCCTTATCGTCCTCCTCCTCCTCCTCCTCCTCCTCCTCCTCCTCCTCGTCTTCCCCCTTCTTGCCAAAAAGGGCCGCCCAGCGAGGCTTTGCAGGACACCCCCAGGGGAGCTAAGATGACCCCGCGCCCTGCGCGTCGCCTCCGCCTCCCCGTCCGCGACTTGGGCAGGATTCGGCGTGAGGAGGCCCTCTGCCCCCTCCCACCCAGGTGTGCTGTGGCCCACGGAGGGAAAGAAGGAGGAGGGGGAGGAGGGGGAGGAGGAGGGGGGGGGAAGGAGAGGAGGAGGAGAAGTACGAGGACGGACGAGGAGGACGAGGAGGAGGGGGATCATCCGAGTTTGTGGCGTTCAGGAGGCCTACCTATTGTTGGCACGGAGATCAGCCCCCTCTGAAATTCAGCCAAGGCCAGAACGCATCCCAGGAGAGGTCCAGGGTTTGATTTATTGAGGGAGGACCAGGAGGAAGGCACGCAGCGCTGAAGACTCCGCTGAGTAAGCAAGGGAAGCCCTGAGATCAAGGCAAACGTTGCCTCCCCCAGATATCCGCAAGTTGCCGCAGAGCAACGCTCAGTTGAAACCCGCCCTGGGTGCACCCGCCGCAAGAGGCGGATGGGATGGGGAGGAAGGAGGACCGAAGAGGGGAGCGGGGAGGATGACGGGGCTCTATCAGTCAGCATCGATGCGGGAAATCTGATCGTATCGGAATGTGCGTCGGATCGGGCTGTGTCGTCACGGAGTGGGAATCAAATCAAAGCGGATCGGTCACGCCAGGATGTCTAACAACACCATGCGAACATCGAAATGTCGGAATCGAATCGGATCGAGCGGGGCAGGATCGATATCGAAGCGGATTGATCGCATCGAACCAGTCCTTGCGGGGTGGATGGCAGGATCAAAGCGGACCCTGTGGAAGGAGGTGGAAGGAGGCGGAAAAGGAGGAGGGCGGGGGGAGTTGACGGGGAGGAAAGCGGGGAGGTGGAGGTTAGG